CAGACCATGGCTTTCTTACACGTTCTAGGGAGAGAAATAAAAATATATTAGCAATATACACTCCCAGGGTGAGGACCAAGCAGCCTGGCTGTAATCCCCCACCTGGTACACTTACCAGAAGGGGCACTGCCACTACCATGGGGTGCATCTGGATGAATGGTTGAAGGTTCTCCGCTTGAAGTTTCTTTTAGCCCGTCCGTTTGTGAGAGGATCTCTACTGCTCTCCCTGTCGCACAGAAAATAAAAATACAAGTGGCCTTTAGGGGAAAAAAATCATACATATTTTAATAATATCAAGAATTACCTTCAGGCTCAATTTGTATCTGGTCGAGGCTCTTTCCTTCGAATTCCGTCACTCTTCCCTGCTCCATGGCCATCAACACTTTGCTGATTTTGGCCAGCTCCAGTGTCCCCTCTGGTAGTCTGTAATATTGCCTGTGGATGCGAATGTCATGGCCGAGGAAGTTGGCAAGTATGTCCATCTCATTCTCTTTCATATTGAGAACTGTAGACATAGTAGCTATGTGCTTTCTAAGTTTGGTTGAGGATAGCATCTCTGGATGCACCGCACCACATTCTTTGGCTACCTGGCGTAGGGAGTCTGATCCCCTGATGTGGGTGTCTGCGCCCGGGCGGGAAAAGAAGTATGGGTTATGGTCAGAGATGGAACAGGCCCTTCTGTTCTCCACCAGCACCTCCATCGAAGCAATCATTTCAGGAGTCAAAAGAACCGGCACTTTCCGACTTCTTTTCCCTTTAATTTCAATGCGTTGAAAATGCTGACACAGCTTTTTCTCAAGTTGGGACAGTCCCAGAGCAATGTCAGAATGGATCCCAGTCTTACTTCTTAAGGTAAAGGCTGTCAGTGGCATCTTTGAAACCTCACCTTCCCTTCTTCGATTGAAAATGATGACCTCACAAAGAGTCAAAACTGCCAGTTTAGACCAATGCTTAGACGTTGGCTCACTTATTAGGGTTTGCACATATTCAGGTCGACATACCTCAATATGTGCATGCATGGCTCTAACGTCCTCAGTCAGAGGGAGCAGGTCCGGAGTGTTCCACTTGGCTTGCCGGAGGGTCTGTAGGGCAGCAGAAGAAACACAGACGTCCCACCTCTTCTCAAAAAGCAGCCGGCTTCGTTGGAGGTTTTTAATAAATAGTTCATCAACACAATGCTCCATTTTTGAGTCACATTCAAGAATATCTGCTAGCTTTCTGAGGCTATGGCCGAGTTTGAGGGCCAAGGATGGAGTCTTGTATTGATTTGTTTCCTCATCATATCCAGCCACAGACCTGACTGCATCAATCACATGGTTAAAGTTGGAAGGAATAAAGAAATCCTTAATTGTTTTCAGTTTCCCTGCGGTTTTTGCTTCGTTAATTAACCTACCGACTTCTCTCATTTTCTGCCTAATGTAATCATGCTTTGTCTTATCATGCCCGTGTTTTAAGTACAGGTGCTCTCCGAGTCTCAGAATCCCCTTTTCTGCTTTGACAACACCCGTGACCTCATCCTGATGCATTGCCGAAATTAAAGACCACAGCTTTTTGCTGATGCCCTCCGGTACAGGCTGGGCTAGGGAGCAGAGGGACTGGACCCTACTTCTACCTGGTTTAGCCTGGGCATCTTTCTGTGAAAGCCGGCACCTGGCCACATGCCTCCACAGCGACTTTCGCTTAAGCAATGCCCCACAGTCTATACAGTGCAAAAACTCACTGGATTTAACTGGGGAATTTGGCTGTTTAGCTGGGACTAAAGTTCCAATGCCGGCCTTTAAAACCTCAAAATTGTGCTCACGGTTTCCACTATTCCTGATCAAATCAAACTGAAGTTTACGTGCTTTAGATTTCACAGGTAGAGCCAATGCTCTGGCTACGTCACTTTCATTTCCATGTTTTCTAGTCAAATGACGGGACATTTTGTGGCAGGACATTGAACAGTAGAGGCAGAAGTGTCTCTTGCTGTATACTCGCCCCCCATTTTTCTTCTTTTGCAGCTGCATGATAACAATCTTATTTGCCTTTGGTTCGTCACTTTCCGAGTCTTGAAGAAAAGTGTTTTTGATTTTTCTTTTTCCATACTTTTTTACAGGTTTCTTCTTGACAGTTAAATCGTCAGAATCTGAGTCGACTTCATCAATTAGGGACTCTTGACTAAGCTGCACAAACAACAAATAATTTGTAATCATTCTATATAACAATTTGAAGTCATGACTTGTAGTCAGCACTTACCAGTGGTTTGTAAGCGTGCGCTTCAGTGTGCTCCTCCATGATTTCTTGCAGCCTAATGAACCACACACTTGCACCTTTTTCTAGCCTGACACCTGATTTCCTCTGTTGTGCTGCTCCATGATTGGCTCCAGCCTGCTGGACTGAAATTGCCCCAGTGTGCCCCTCCTTGATATCCCGCAACCCACCACCAGGGTTCCGACACATAACACACTTTTTTCAGGAAAGTAAACCTCCAGGGGTCCTTTCCATATTTTTACAGAGACTGCATAAGGACCGTTAGAAAAGCATTACCCATTGATTATTAAGCTTGGACCAGTGGGGTCCGGTGTTCGGGCCCCACCACGTAAAACCAGTCCCCATGACGTGAGTGGAATCTCAGGTTATGGAACCCACCAGGAGTTGAAAACAAGTGCACGCACACACACACACACACACACACACACACACACACACACACACAAACACACACACACACACACACACACACACACACACACACACACACACACACACACACACACACACACACACACACACACACACACACACACACACACACACACACACACACACACACACACACACACACACACACACACACACACACACACACAGAAACATGATCATTATGGAGTACATTTATTATTTTTTTCCCCCAAGAGCCTTAAATTATTTTTTTATGGTCAAAAACGTCTGAAATAAACTGAACTGAACACATAGAAGGAAGTGTTTTGCAGCTATAGACAGATAATTAATAATAATGTATAATGGGACAAACGAAGAATAGAATGAATCCAGGAGTTAATTGGCCTCAGCTGTTTATTATTATTATTATTATTATATATTATAGTTTAATTATTCATAACGGACTCAGGCTGGAGCCACATGTCACAGATGCAGTGTTTGTCCTTTAGCATCTCTTCAGGAGTCTGCTGCCATAGAGAGGACATGACGTCAGCTGGTGGTGCGTTCAGGGACCTGCTGCAGCCACGTACTTCTCAGACCCACGTTACAGAAAACAGGCGCTAAATGGAGAATCTATCTATCTATCTATCTATCTATCTATCTATCTATCTATCTATCTATCTATCTATCTATCTATCTATCTATCTATATGTGGTGTTTGTTGTTTGCAGATGTGCGGCTGTAGCTCAGTAGAAACCTCTTATCGTCCGTTTACTTTTTAAATTGAAACTATTCTGTGACAAACTATTTACTTGCCAATCAAGCCTTTGTGTGGTTTGGTGTTAATTTAAGAATAAATGATTGTTTTGCAGAAAATTAGAATAACGTCAGAATGATAACGACACGTGTCACTGATGTAATTTCACTTTGAGCTGAACAGAAAAACTTTTGAACAATATTTACATTTCTGAGATTCACCTGTGACTCTGAAACTAAACAGACTGGAAACATTTACGTTCAATCGTTCATCGCTGTAATTAAATAAATGAATAAATAGTAACAGTGCGTCTGAAGTGCATGAACCTGTGAGCACTTCAGACACATGAAGGAGAAACACTTATCGTAGTAAGATGTTAGAGTCAGAGGCAGCGGCGAGTGCTCTGCAGGAGAGACATGTTATAGTCATGTAGTATCATAGTATTATAGAAATGGACTAATACAGGGGGAGAAAATGAATGAATGAGTAATGTAGTAATGTAGTATTGTAGTATTATGGTGTTGTAGTAGTGGCGACAGTAGCTCAGTTGGTAGAGCATTGGCCTTTGGGCTGGAAGGTCGTGGGTTCGTGGGTTTTGGGCATTAGTCTCTCACTCCACACAGAGGCACATGCCAGACCTATTGTACATGTTTTTAGTGGTAGTAATGTTTTATTATAGTACAGTAGTATTATAGTAACGTAGCAACATAGTTATTATTATTATAAGTATAATTTATAGTGAGTAGGTTCTCAGTCATTCTCCGGATGGTTCTTTCCACAAACAAAAGTCATGTTTTTGAAACAGAGAAAAAAGTTAAAAGCAAATAAACAGTAGTTGTTTGATGTTGTCAGACTGTTACCATCGTCACCGGGGAATTAGATCAGATGACCTCCTCAACTATTTTAAACTATAGGTTTATGAGAATAATGTGATGTCACATGAATCTATTCATTTCTTACCGAGAGGATCAAGAGGGAATCCACTGGAACTGTTTTTGGAAAATGATAATGAAGCATTTGGAACCACTGAACCAGAGCAGAGAAAATGGTCCGAACCAAACAGACCCAGAGGAAGCAGCTCATCACCTCCACCTGCTGCTGATGCACTTTGTTACTATCGTTAGTAACTTTTAGATTGATGTATTTATTGTTATATGGATAGATGCGTTTCTGCTGCAGCTGGACACGTGGATTTCCCACAAGGGTCAATACAGAATCATCCGGGACTTTTCCATAAGCTCGAAACATCTGCCCCAGGTTTTTGTCAAACTACAAGAACCACAACAACAGAGAGGTGTCCAGTGGAGCTGTGACCCAACAGGACCACCTCCGGACCGCTGTGTCACACTCTTCAGCGGGAGGACGTGTGCCTTTTCCCGCAGTCAGTGAACTCCTCTTGGGCGGAGTTTAGCGAGAATCCTCTCCGAGCCTGAGTCATGATTCCCCCGCAGCAGCTGCAGCTATGACCGCTCCATCCACCGTCTCCAGAACCACTGCTGCTGCCCGCTAAAGCCTCCTGCCCACCCGGTCCAGACTGCACCCAGACCCGGCCCAGACCGCTCCATGTCCCCGCTGCGAAGGCCGTGAGCGTCGGTGTCCGGGGATGGTCGCCGAGATGTTCGACTCTTCGTGGAAGGTTCGGAGCATTTGGGACGGGGTGAGGCTGGAGGTGGCCCACGACCCCAGCCCCGTGGTTCTGCACAGTTTCACCCACCTGGACCCGGACCTGCCGCTGCTGCTGGAGCCGGTGAGTGAGAGGTCTGTGCCCGGGGACAGACGGAGCGGAGCCGGGGAGGAGCAGCGGAGGAGCAGCGGGGATAGCGGTCTGAGATGAGGGGGAGATGTCGGGGTTAATGTGGATGACATGTTGTGTTTGTGAAGATGGTTCGTTCAGGTGTGGGACAGATTTACTGCTGCAGCTGAAAGAGACGAATGCTTTTGTTTATAAATGGACTTCTCTGGGTACGTCTCTCTTTACGCTCTCTAGTCTTTCTCTGGTCTCTCTCTGGTCTCCCTCTGGTCTCTCTCTGGTCTCTCTCTGGTCTCTCTCTCTGGTCTCCCTCTGGTCTCTCTCTGGTCTCTCTCTGGTCTCTCTCTGGTCTCTCTCTGGTCTCCCTCTGGTCTCTCTCTGGTCTCTCTCTGGTCTCTCTCTCTGGTCTCCCTCTGGTCTCTCTCTGGTCTCTCTCTGGTCTTTCTCTGGTCTCTCTCTGGTCTCACTCTAGGCTCTTTCTGGTCTCTCTTTGGTCTCTCTCTGGTCTCTTTCTGGTCTCTCTTTGGTCTCTCTCTGGTCTCTCTCTGGTCTCTTTCTGGTCTCTCTGGTCTCTCTCTGGTCTCTCTCTGGTCTGTATCTGGTTTCTCTCAGGTCTCTCTCTGGTCTCTCTCTGGTCTTTCTCTCGTCTCTCTCCCTCTCTCTCTCTTTGGTCTCTCTCTGGTCTCTCTCTGGTCTGTATCTGGTCTCTCTCTGGTCTCTCTCTGGTCTCTCTCTGGTTTCTCTCTGGTCTCTCTCTGGTTTCTCTCTGGTCTCTCTCTGGTCTGTATCTGGTCTCTCTCTGGTCTCTCTCTGGTCTCTCTCTGGTTTCTCTCTGGTCTCTCTCTGGTTTCTCTCTGGTCTCTCTCTGGTCTGTATCTGGTCTCTCTCTGGTCTTTCTCTCGTCTCTTTCCCTCTCTCTCTCTCTCTCTTTGGTCTCTCTCTGGTCTCTCTCTGGTCTCTCTCTGGTCTCTCTCTCTGGTCTCTCTCTGGTCTCTCTTGTCCCTCTCTGGCCCCTCTCCCTGGGTTATGGGGTTATTACCGAGTGATACGTGGGTGAATTGTTATAACGTGGATATAGCAGTTTCTCACTACGGTAATAGACTTGTTTTATAGCAGCTCAATAACAGAATCCTCATACTTATGGTGCTCGCCTCTCCACAGACATGACCTGTAACTCGGCCTCGTGATGGACTCTGCTGCCGCCGATGATAAAGTCAATGTCGTTCTGTGGAATCTGTCTATTTACATAAACATAAGCAAGTGGCCTCTGCTTGGACTAAGTAGAAATATACTGAAGGAGACTCGGCCAAAGATAACCAGGTCTCAGTGGTGGTGGGAGGGGCTGATGGCACAGACTGGCTGCCTCGCTTCTGTCAGTGTGCCCCAGGGCAGCTGTGGCTACATCAGTCGTTTATCACCAACGTGAAAGAATAAGGATGTGAAGAGACTTTGAGAGCGATATAAAACCAACGCATTATTGATATTCTGATTATTAAAAGCCAGTCTGAATGAATGAGTTATGGCTCCAGAGTTGATTATATTATTATTGTTGGTAGACATAGTTTAGCTGTAAAACTATAGCAGTGATGTGAAAGTTTGGACACCCTCTTAAGTCGGTCTCAGGTCAGGGCTGAAGTCAAACTGTTTAGTCTTTCTGCCTGACGTCTAAACTATGATAACATAATCTCAATCTGGAATGAGGGAATGTGGCTTTTGAAGGACGAGATGTGAGGAATAATAAAGAACTAATCAGCACAAAACAGAAAGAGTCAGACTTCTTTACTGTGTTTATTATCACACCATGTTCTGTCACTTTTGATTTTTAGCTCCAACTTAACCTATATTCATCTCATTCTATATGTCTCTCTTAGTAGATTTACTTGTCAATCGTCTTACCTTCAGTTTCAGAACCTGGACTTTTAAGCACAACTGTATAAACCACAAGTTAGATTATAAAATAACACATAGGACACATTCATTTTACTTCACCAGCAGCTGATGAAAACAAAGAGACGACCGTTTGAACTGGACACAACAGGATTTAATGTTTTATACAATGTGTTTTAACTAGGGCTGTCAAAATTATCGCGTTAACTCACGTTAATTTAATTTTTCATTAACGCGTAAAAACAAAAATTAACGCATGTCCGAATGACCCACCCATTTATCCATAATATCACTCATGCTGCGTGTGAGATGCATCAGAGCAGGTCTCTGGGAACTCATGTTTTCAAAGAATACGTGCGTGACCGTGGGGCTGTTATTTGCTATGGACTGAGGTCCGCCTCCTCCGCTCTGGTTGTCAGCGGCTGCAGCTGACAACAACACGGCTGTGAGCGGCGGTAACATGGACCATACACGCCACAGAACTTTTGTCTGCATATTGTGTTCGTTTCTTTGCAACCTGTGCGTAGCCTGTGCACGCAAATACAGCGCGAAAGTGTCCCTGTCTTTTCCTGAAACTAAACTAAACTCGCTGAATTAAAGCTTTGGTACTTAAATTTCCCCCTTTCATTAACAGCTCATTTTGGTTGTGCCCAAAAGCAAAATGTTGTGAGCAAATCTAACATATTTAGGTACATTTGGTATAAATGAGAATGTGTAATTACATTTGATAATCTAATTTAACGTCCAATTGGAGTGGATTTGATAAATGCGATTAATCGTGAGTTAACTCACCATTAAATTAATTAATCGTTTGACAGGCCTAGTTTTAACGCAATCTGTTTTAAAAATAAACTTGCTTCCAATCTCTGTAGTGCAAGATGGAGTCAAAATACTGTCACCAGATTGATACAAAATATAACAAACCAGAAAACACATGGGGATTCATGTGTTTGCCATCTGCATTAAAACCACATTGGAATAAATTTTTAAAAGTCCCCAGTGTGCATGAGTAGTACATACATAAAACATTACAGAGCTCTCACTGCGGCGCCATCTTGCTCCGTCTCATGGGCTGCATCACTATGTTTTCAAACCGATTCAATTCAATGTGTTTTTGTTTGGCCCTAAATCACTACAGTGGTAATCTCTGAGGACTTTACAAAGCTGTCGATTCTCCAACACAGATCAGAGAATCACACACAGGAAATGCAGTGATGAAAACAAGAAGGACTGTGATGATCCCGGACACTTTAGCATTCTACATGTATGACATTTATCAACATTCATGGATATGGGTCTCTCCTATGGACCAATACATATGTGTAGTTTCTGTGTGTTAACTGTAACTGATCTGTGTTGGTGATTTCAATGGTTTTGTTAAGTCTCTGAGATGATGCTGCTGTGATTTAGGGCGATACAAGAATAGGTTGTATTGTGTTGTATTGTGTATTGTAAAAATCACACATAGGGCTGTCGTTGTGTCAGGGCCAAATCTAAAAGCATGAAGCGGGTTGGGGCCGGAAGTGTATGAAAGAGGATTTTCTACTCCCGGGTGGATCATCAAGACTATTGGTCCTCCCCATTATCAATCACTCGTCCAATCAGAGCAGAGAGCTTTGTTCACAAAGTGGAGAGGGCGGTTCTTTCCTAAAAATTGAGAAACTGTATACCTTTAAACTTCTGATTACATGTTAGTAAACATTTGAGAACAGATTCAATCATATGGTTGTTTTCCTGAGACAATAGGCTTTCAAATAGCTTGCCATAGTCTCCCATCACCATGCTGCCGGACATAGAGCCATTGGTTCATAAATGTGGTTGAATGTGGAGTGTCCTGGGTCCAGTCCTTGCAAAGTTTTTAGTCCAGTCCTGTCCTTGTCCAAACTGACCTCTCTGAACTTCTTTACGCCGATGCTTCTTCACATCACACCGTTTTTATAATTCCGTAGAAACCCTGGAAAATGCCAGCTGTAAACTAGGACACGGTCTGTGGTCGTAAATCCTCTGGGCTCGTGTTAAAACCATGTTGGTGTCGTTTAAAGGGATTAGGTGGTGAAAAGTGCTGAGTCGGGCTAAGCCTCTGGTCCATCAGACAGACAGGCGCTGCTAAAGCTACTGTTACACCATGACTCGCCGTTTTTCACCCAGTCTTTCTTCTCCATGTCTCAGAAGAACGGAACACCACGTCCTTCTCTGCGTCTTGAGCTGTTGCTTCTGCAGAAATATCTTGAATTATTCATGTTTGGACCAGCTGGGGGCTATCCCAGTGTGAACATTAGAGTAAGGTCAGATAAGTTGGACTTGATTGATCTCTGATGCAAAATGTAGAGAAAGTGTGAAGCATGTTAAAGGTTAAAAATATAGTCTGTTCAGGATATAATTACGTACGATAAAAAAGTGGCAATAGCAGCAGGTTTTTCAGTCCCAGTGTATGACTTACTATTTCCTTCTTGGATTTTGACGCAGCCCAAAGCCATTACAAAAACATTCAACCACATGTATGGACTTTATCAACAGTAATGGACAGCGTTTTCTGCTCCTTATTGAACGGTTTGATTTTCTGATCTGTGTTGGCGAATCGGCAGCTTGTAAAGTCCTCAGAGATAACAACTGTTGTGATTTTATTAATTTGTATTCAACCTTTTATATAACCAGGATAGTCCCATTGAGATTAGTTATACAAGTTAGCTAAGTTGGTAGAGCCTTGGCTTTTGAGCCTGAAGGCTGTGGGTTCGATCCCACCAAGAAACCTTCTCCACCGACTCCCACTGATGTCTGCTGTTGTTGCGTCTGTTAGATACTTGCCAAATTCACTTGTGTTCAAACATGAGTGAATGTTGACTATGCAAAAAGTCCATATGAGTGTAGCCTAGATTAATGAGATAGATTAGCACCAACAGAGATTCAAAAGCATTTAAAAGCATTTTGAAGGATTTGTGTATAGCACAAAAACACAATAGTAGATATTTAGATATTTGGATATCTTTGAGAAGTTTAAAAAGCTGTAGATTCATCAGCACAGATTAGAATCAGAATTCAAACACCATTGTAGACCCCAACCCCAAACCTGCTCAAATAGATTAGCTCTTGTAAGGATAATACTAATTTGA